CCCCAACCCTAATACATAATATAAATATTAAAGAGTAGAATCATAAATAATATTTAGATTTCTAAAAGTGAAAATACTTTTGATACACCCTATCAAAAGAAAACAAATCCTTTAATGATGTTGACAGGAATAAATATAAAATTTTGAAAAAACTTTGAAAAAATAAGGTTATTTTTTATTAAACCTAATTGAACAAAGTTAGTTAAAGTTAACTAAACATGATAGATTTTTTATTTAAACTTTGTTTTTATCTAAACTGGGTTGTCTGTTTCTCCTATGTTATATGCAGGTCATTCTATGACTATATTACATTGTCATTGGGATCAAATTAGACTCCTGTGAATTATACCTTAACAAATTCTTTAAACTGTATTTAATAAAAACTGAATCAATGTTATTCACTATAAAGTTAATGTTCATAAATACTAATATTAATGTTGGTTCTATTATATATTGCTTTATATTAAATTGTTTTGATGAAAACAATCTGGACAAATTCTTTTTCATAACATAAAAAAATAATTATATTTATCATATAGATATCAATGTTGAAGAAATTATATTCATATTGTAAGATATTTTTTTAAAGTCCTCTTTTCTATGTGTTGTAACCTAGGGAAGATTACTGAATAGAATAATCACATGAAGGTTGGTAATGAACGATAATACTTAGGACAAGAACAACACACATAAGATTTGCCAGCAGTACATAGAAGTAGTAGTCAACTGCTAGAAGTGAGTCAAGTGAATTCCACAATAAATCTTCAACTGCAGACTAACATGCAGTATTTACTACTGTATTTATGGGAATCGGGGCATACCCTTTATCGTCCATAGGTATGCTACAACACTATATGATGAATATGCTGTAATAAACTGCAGAATATGATATTACATTTAGAGATATGTCATTTAGAATTGAATACATTGTCACTGATATTTCAAGACTGGTATGTTAACCCCAGTTCTACCAGCAGTCAGTCATTAATCTTCTTTTCTCCTTTTGTCTCTGTTTACATTTCTTCATCCTGTCACAGGTGCATGTAACAATAGTGACCACAAATTTTTATATTACTTTTTGATTTTGTCCATGATCATATGTACAATATCATGTGATCGCTTTATTAAAAACTGAAATTATTGTTAGACTGTAGCTGTCGGTTCTATGCTAATGGTTTCTTTTCTCACACTTCACTTTCCTGTCAATCACAATCTTCAAAAATTTAAATGTAATGTCAATCGTCAACTTCTGTCTTTTTGAATCGTGTTCTTTTAATTGTCCTCTCTCCTCAAAGTTTTCTCAATTTCTTTCATGATCAGTAATTCCTTGAGTCTTAGTGACTTTATCACCTTTCTTGGGATGAAATGACTTTAAAAAAAAAAAAAACAAAACTGCAAACCTGTATGTCATTTATTTACACTATTTGCATTGTTCGGACTGTTGTCCTCATCTTTGTCATATCCATAATGTTTTGGCCACTGTATGATCCAGCCTTCTTCAGATGATCGAAATTTCAAACTGAATCCTTTATTTCACCCACTGTGTTAGATTGTTCTATTTCCACCTGAAGAAAGCTGGAGTGGACAACAGCTGAAACAGCGTGGATACGAGGACAAAGATGAGGACAACAGTCTAAACAAAGTAAATAGTGTAAATAGTTATAATACCTCATCTCAGAAATATAGACAGATACTGTGTGTCATTTGTTTAAAATCAACTTTTAGATATAAAATCAGTTTAATAATCATTAAATGATTAATTCTGTAGAGAATCTAGTTTTTTTTTTCATTTACCAGACTCTACTTATGGCAGTATTAATCATATACAGACTCATGCCTTGAGACATGAGCATACTGACACATGTGTTTTTTGAGATATGATCCAGAGTTTGGCCAATTTTATTTATTTATTTTTTTTTTGCCTTGCGATACGAGCAAGTTTCAGTTAAGCATCCACTAGTGGCACAGAAAGTTCCAAGCTTCAAGAGTGTTCAAGAGTATTTCCACTCACAGTACATGTGTTCACCATGCTCTGGAAGGATTTCTGTTGTGTTTCATCTTTTTGGCTGTTCTTTTGCAAAATTCCTTTAGTGGCACAATGGGTCCAAACAACGTAAGTGTAAAGAGCAATGATAAAAAGCCAAGACATATGATTTCACTTGTGGTAAAGTGGGAAATTATTTAAAAAAAAAAAAAAAACATGAGGATGATGTACGAGTAATGGATTTGGTGAGACAGTATGAACATTCCATATTGACAATAAATAAAAAAAAATTATAAAATTAAAAAAAAAAAATTATTACAGTAATGGATAAAATGTAAATGTTTTAAAAAATTTAAAAATTAAGTGAAGTTAATTGTCAGTATTGTAGACTAGGCTAGCCGTTGCTAGCTTAGCAATTGCTAGGCAAGCTGCGCTCTCTCTCTCTCTCTCTCTGCCAGTTGACCTATGACTCATATGAACTTCATGGTTGAGTAAAGTTTATTTCTTTCCAATTTGCTTTTTCTCTTTTATTTTATTGTTTGTAAATTACATTTCTTGTTTATTCATATGTTTTTTTTGTTTTTGTTTTTTTTGCCTATAAGAACCCCACAAATACAAAAATAGGGGTGAGTTTTATGAAAATAAAGTTGACTTTTAGGGGCCTGGAACAGAGCAGAAATATTCCCATTAATTGTAATGGGGAAAATTTATTTGAGATACCAGTCTTTTGAGTTATAACCTTGGTCTTGGAATGAATTAAACTCGTATCTCAAGGCATTACTGTACATAAGAAAACATCCATCATGTTCAAAGTGATAAAAAGTAATATTTTTTTAATAATCATAATACGTAATTTTGGTTGAGACTGGACAAAATATTTCTGTATTGAAGAACTTCTTTCTTCTATATGGATTTAATTCAGTTCCTTTTTTTTTTTTTAAATTGGGCCCCAAAAAACATACTATCAATTTAGAAACCTAAAGAAAATATTTTGTTTTGTTCAAATCATTCCATTCTGTGTTTTGTATACTTTAAGCTAATTTTAAATTGCTTCCAATTTTAACTGATAAACTAATAGCTAATTTGTAAGAACTTCAATGTTTTTATTTCCACAAAAAGAAAAACGAAAACTATCTGCTTATATCAGCATTTTTGTTTTGTCAAAAGGATAGGAAAATATACAATTTGGAAGGCAGCCAAAAAATAAATACTTATGTATCTTCATTAGGCTGTAGACTTAAGGATGTACCTGCAAATACATAAAATCGGTACATTACTAAGCAACTTCATTTTTATTATAAATACTATTTTAGTTTGTTATTTTGTATAATATTTATAATTTATTGAAAATGTGGCAAAATTTACACAAATATTCACAATACATTCATTGACTTTTTGTCTTTTAAACATCCATATTGATGTTTTTCATATTTGTTCCAAATTTACACAAGGTTCAAAATCAAAGATTAAATCTTAAATGTAAATAAAAGTTTAACATTTTCATAACTTATCCTTTATTAGTTTTTTTTTTATTATTATTAGTCTCTCAATCTCTCTTAAAAAAATAATGACGTCTGTATATATTCAGAGTGATTCATTTTCTAAGTGTGTGTACAGTTAATAACAGTATGTTTGGGGTTTGACTATAAGCATAAAGGGTGATCAAATAAACTTAAAGCAATTATATTTTGAAAATTGAAGTCAAAACAATGACTTCTTACTTGTTTGCAGAAATACTTTTCTAAGTAGAAAACTGTTAATACAGCATTTGGAATAAAAACAAGAAAACTTCAAATGAAATATATATATATATATACAGTGTAACCCGGATATAAGAGAAACCCGGATATAAGACAGATTTTCTCTGGTCCCAAATTAGAGCCTGTGTTAATGTATATAAAATAGACCAAACCCGGATATAAGAGACTTCTTCTCTGGTCCCGACAACTCTCTTATATCCGGGTTACACTGTGTATATATATATATATATATATATATAATATTTTAAATAAAAACGGACCACTTTAAGGTTCCATGTAATAAATTATTTCCCCACAGCCCATACGGATTACCTAGTTTTTCATAAACTAAATATATATATATATATATATATATATATAGAGAGAGAGAGAGAGAGAGGAGTTAATTGTCAGTCTCTAGTTATACTTAGGCTTCTACTACCTGATTTCTTTCTTTCTCCATTTACCAGACTATCATTTTAATTGCTACTGTTTCTTTCTCTTCCCCCTCCTTTCTCACTTAACTATTTATTTGTTTCTGTAACTCACTGATAAACCATAAGTATCTTCTTGTTAATAATTATCTTTGTTAGTGTCTATATTAGTATCAATGGCCCAAAGCAAAACAAATTCAATTAGGTAGGCGTCATCTATATATTACTCTATACTGGGTTTGGTTTAGATAGAATTTAAGTAATTTTCCATTGATAGGTGTTTGTCATTTTTAGTTTAATTCTCTATTTTTTAATCTGTATTGAATTAAGAGTTTTGATCAATATTAATTAAAACCAGATTACCTAATTTATTATTAGTATTAGAGAAATCAGGTAACCAAGTTCACTGATCCAAATGTTTTTTGTTTTGTTTTTAAAATAGATTTTTTTTGTAATTATTTATATTTTATTCTGATTTTTGTCTGGTATTACTACTGGATGTATTTTCATGGTTACTGATTTTTGTCTGGTATTACTACTGGATGTATTTTCATGGTTACTGATTTTTGTCTGGTATTACTACTGGATGTATTTTCATGGTTTCAAACTCCAAAATGGGGCTCAAATCTAACTCACAACCTTCATTTTTATTTAATATTTTTCTTTCATTCATTTAGTCTTTCATTGTTTTGTGGTATGCATAGCCTAGATGTTTGACAGGGTGAAATGTAACATTTTTAAGTAGAAAATACAAAGTCTTTTTTTTTTTTTTTTTAAATAATTATGTTCAATTTACAAGAAATGTTGTATTAAACTGTATTTTCTTTTATTCATTCCTTGTAGCTTCTCATCAAACTTGATAAAAAGATTTCCCAATGCCATGAAGTTCTCACTTTTTTTGAGCCCACGGCAGATGACCTGTCTCCTAAAAGCCAAGAGTGAGTATCAACATTTGCCAATTGATTGATTTTTTTTTTTTTTTAACAGTTTTACTGATTGACTTTTTTTATGGTTTATTAACCTTTTATAGGCTATTTACAACCAGAAAATTAGAGTGTAAGAATTTTTTTTTTTTTTTTTTTTGAGATAATGATTTACTGATACTCAACAGATCCCAGCTAGTCTCTGTAGTCGTATTCAACAGATCCCAGCTAGTAATATTTAGCCACCCTCCCCCATGAAGATTACATGTAGCACAAGGCCAGGTTTAATGTGGGTTCTCCGAGCCCGTAGGCTCAGCCAAAAATATTCCCTTTCGAAGCCATATAAATGGGTTCAGGGTCAGTCTACCTCCCCGAATGAGACTCTGCCCTTTGGTGGAGCCTCGTCCGGGTTCCTCTCCGCCCGATGGCAGAGAGTTTGATCGTCTAGCTGGAACAGATCCCAGCTAGTCTCTGTAGTTTGTTGACTTACAGACATTTAGGTAGTTACTACCTATAGTGTATTCACTGATGGGGGTGACAGGTTATTCCATTACATCACATACATACATACATGTATTTTGCTATTAGAGAGGTCCTGTATATTAAATATCTCTCTCCTACCATCAACCTCACCTTATTTAACAGTGGGAAGCGAGTGTTAAAAGTCTTAAAAATAGAAAGCTCATGTGTATTCCAGTCTTACTCAACATGTGAAGGCCTGGAATAAACACTCTTATTAAAAAAAACACAAAAATAAAATACAGCTTAAACAGTCAAAACATTAGGAAAAACTAACAATACCAAAAACAAAACTCACTAGAAAATGGATAAAGTGGCTGAAAGCCCTTGGGACAATGAAAATTATGGAAAATGTCTGTACTTCCTTACTTCTACAAAATGGAAAAATGTAGGCATGCTGGAAAAACTAAATAAAAATTCATTAAATCTTGCTTGTCTGCCATATTTAATGAAAGATGTTTAATAGAAAAGGTTACAGCCTAATTATATATATATATATATATATGCAACCATCAACAATATGGGAACAGTTTTGTCAGCCTAATTTCACTCCCAAGGCTTGGGTTAAATTAAAGTTTACAGGCACTTTTCAATGGTGCTGCATACTAAGATTGAAGGCTGATATTATCAAAAATCAACCATGGCGGTATTTGAACCAAAGTCTCTTGGTTGTAACATGGTTGGGGAAGGAAAGAGAGAACATCAAAGGGGGCAGAGTAGAAGAGATGACAGAAGACATAGTTACAGGAAGTAATGTGAGGTATTATATTATGGAGGTATGAGTGGGCAGGGCGAGAGAAGGGAAACCCAGTGAGCTGACCTACATCTTAATGGTCATACAGCTAAAGTTTGATTCAACAATCCACAGAAATTAATGAAAATTTTGCTCTGTTTAATAAAAAAAAAAAACACTGAGCGCTCTTTGTGAGACATTTAATATTTCAAATTCTATATTGTGTAAATAGGACTCACTTGGATTATACCAACGAATTACTACCTGTATGTATGTATGTGTGTGTGTGTATATATATATATATATATATATATATAAAAGAAATATGTTGTAGTGGTTCCAACGAGAGAAAAGTATGTATATTAAAAAGAAGAGGGGCCGCAAACGTTTTTGGTTGTAATGTGGATTTATTGAGAAAAAATATTATACTTTGTTTTACATAATTTCACGACACGTGTTTCTGGTCTGGTCTCTAAACCGTCTTCAGGTGAAAGTGGAGATTTTTACATATTATTAAAAATAATTAATTTTTTCTTCATGTTCAATGTGGAATATTCTCGATATGAGACATTCTGTTTGTGTGTTGGCAATCCGAATTTTCTTTCTAGAATTGTCAATGAAGAGTTCTGCATGAAGGGTCATAAAACAATTAAGGTTTGTCCAGCGAGTAGATATCGGCATTTAATCTTTTAATGTTTTAGTGACCTCTATGTGCTCTTGGATCTGTTTCTATTTTGGCGTGTTCCTGTCAGCATGCGTGTATATATGCGTGCGTATATTTCCTTACTACGAGGAATTAAAAACTTATTTGTACCTATACACACACATACACACTATCCCACCACAAGTAGTCAGTACACACACACATATACACACATATTTCCCAAGCTACATGGAACCAGTACACACACATACACACACACACATACATACACACACACACACACACACACACACACACGTACTTCCTAAGTTGTCAACATCAAATGTATGTATGTGTACATACACATATATATATCTCTCCTCGTGTCTCCCGTATATGATGCGAGACCAGACCAGAAACACGTGTCGTGAAATTATGTAAAACAAAGTATAATATTTTTTCTCAATAAATCCACATTACAACCAAAAACGTTTATGTCTTCCCTTTAATTATATTTATATATATATATATATATATATATATATATATATATATATATATATATATATATATATATAACAACTTTTCTTTTCAAGCATGTTTCATTGAATGTGACAGACAATGAAAAGTTGAATTTTTATTTAGGCTTTCTAATATTCTTAGATTTTTCTGTTTGGAGTATATATATATATATATATATAAACTGCTTGTATTCATACAATAAATGACCTCCAAATGCAACAGAAATATTTTGGAGCCATGAATAGATAATGGTAAAGCTGAATCTTAAATCCTTTATATTTAAATTGAAATTAATTTAAATCGGCACTCATTCATTTTTGAGCAACATTTTTACTACAAAAATACATCTGACAGGGATTATTATTTTTTTAATGTATATGTGACATGGAATCAAATTTACAGCTTTAATTTTTTTTTCTTGTTTGTATCATTTATATTTAAGTGGTTGATAAAAGTAACATTTCATCAAATTAATTCTCTAAAGAGATATTTTCTTTTTTACAGATTCACATCATCTGTATTGTTTTTTAAATTTATAATGTACATTAACCAATACTACTCTTATACTAAAGAACTTCATTTGCTGCATGAAGTATATTTGAATTTGAAGTTATTTACCTTTTCAAATCCAGTTATCAGCTGGTTTAGTTTAATTGCAAACATCTACCTCAATATTTGTTACTCATAAAAATAACTTCCTTTTTTGAATAACTGGATTTATATTGAGAGAGAAAACTCAGATTTATTTTGTTCTTATATAACATCCTTTACTTTATCTTGCTACAGGCAATTTATACAACATAGGAAGTGTGTTAATCTGGAAATTTCTCTCTCTCTTATCATAATTACTGACCAGGAAACAGCAGCATAGTACCTGTCAAAAATGATGGTATTATTTGCATATGGATTAGTACTTCTATTTGAGGATCAGTATGATATCGGTGTGCTCAACCTAGGATCAAATCACTTCTACTTCAGATAAATATATATATATGCTCAACTTAGGATGAAAATGTGGCTTCATGGCACTTCTACTTAGGATCAGTATAATGTCTGTGTACTCTACTTAGGATCAATATAATGTCTGTGTACTATAATTTCTGTGTGCTCTACTTAGGATCAATATAATGTCTGTGTGCTCTACTTAGGATCAATATAATGTCTGTGTGCTCTACTTAGGATCAATATAATGTCTGTGTGCTCTACTTAGGATCAGTATAATGTCTGTGTACTATAATGTTTGTGTGCTCTACTTAGGATCAGTATAATGTCTGTGTACTATAATGTCTGTGTGCTCTACTTAGGATCAGTATAATATCTGTGTACTATAATGTCTGTGTACTCTACTTAGGATCAGTATAATGTCTGTGTACTATAATGTCTGTGTACTCTACTTAGGATCAGTATAATGTCTGTGTACTATAATGTTTGTGTGCTCTACTTAGGATCAGTATAATGTCTGTGTGCTCTACTTAGTATCAAAATGTTGCTTCACAGAACTTCTACTTAGTATCAGTGTAATATCTTACACACACTACCTATTATACCCCTTTTGATCTGAGTGAAGCTTTAATTAATATTTTTTCTTTTAGATGGAATGCACACTTTACATAAGAAAGTAGGTAGATAGTGCAGTGTTAATATACAGATTATTTATGAGACAGTGTCCCAATCTTAGCCAAACTGGGATGTAATACTAAACCTAAATTTGTTCATTTCTGTATAGAAATATGAGTTCTTGAAATATTTCTGTGAATAAAGTCTTTTTATGACCCAGCAACCCTTAAGCTTAAAAAAAAAATTGATAGTTTATATCACTAGGAGAGATGTCATTCTTTTCCTCTCAACTCGTGTATATATATATATATATATATATATATATATATATATATATATATATGAGAGAGAGGAGCAGAGTTGGTGAGGTGGGGTAATGTAGAAAAATAGGTGACAGTGAATCTGTCATGTCATCTGTACATCCTCTAGAATATGTGAGAAAAAAGACTAATGCATACACACACACACACATTTGGGCAGCAATCCCTCTTTTATACAAGTTTCATTAAAGATAACTGACAAGGTATTGCAATTAAGCTTTTTGTTCAATTTTTCTTGTGTTCATCTAGGTGTTTTCCTTGCTGGACATAGTGTATAAAAACTGTCTGAATATTTGGGAAATAACAAAACATTCCCATCACTACAGATACACATATATATAAAAAAAAAAAAAAATGTACATATTCAGTTAGAAATAAACATCCTTGATAATGGCTAGCTAATAGAATAATGGAAAGCACTTGGATATATAGAACATCCAGACAGCTTTTATACACTTTATGTTCAGAAAAGAAAACACTTATATGAACATAAGAAAAATTGCATAAAAGCTTAATCGCAGTACCTTGTCAGTCGTCTTGAATGAAATTTGTGTGTGTGTATGTATGTATGTATGTGTGTGTGTGTGTATATTTATATATATATATATATATATATATATATATATATATACACATTATAAATTAACTGATTTAAAATGTTTTTTTTTCGCTACACAGTTCTAACCATGTTTCAAAAATGGAAGCTAAAAACTTCGAATTT